TGGAACAAAAATGGGCTTTGGAAACCTTCTGGTTACAGAACATTATGGTTGCCCTCAAAGGGCCTGTAAGACTATATAAATGTATCTAATCTTTTATCATAAATTGCCTCGGCATTCCATTATCACTGGTTTTAGTAATAACCTAATACCTAGATCTGAAAGTAGAAGTCTAGGAAATGGCCTGGTGGGCCAGATTCTGCCCCCTGGGCCTTGAGTTTGACACATGTGGGTTAGAACATATGGCAGGTTTGTGCCGCTGTCTGTGGACCCCATCAACAGACTTTCCCCACTTCCTATCCCAGGTCACAGGTGGTGTGTGGAAACCTTTTATGTAGGAAGAAAAGCCTAAAAAAGGAACTTGGTATCCAAACATGGGCTTTGGAAACCTTCTGGTTACAGAACAGAGACCAAAATTGGACGTAGGACCTCTCCAGAACCTCGCCAACCCACTTCATCATCTCTTCCTTTGGTTCTCCTATTGGAAGTTCTGTATGGTGAAGGGTAGAGAGGTAAATAACATGGTTAGTAACAAGTGTTCAGATTGGTAAAAGTCCTCACCGGCACACTTCTTCTGGCTTATTCCAAGCCCGAATGTTCAACATTTAGGAACGGCGGCCTACTTGTATTCCTCAGTAAAGTGGGCCTGTCACCCCGATAGATTCTCTCATGATAAGTAATGCATCAGAATAACATTTCCAGGAGATCACAGGACTCCCCTTCAGTGACATCATCTGCTTCATCTCTAGAAGGGCGGCGCCATCTTTGCTGATGGCATCATCCGTGGTCATCATCTACTTCCTAGACCAGGGGTGCCCATTAGGTAGATGGTGATCTAGCAGTAGCTCTCAGAGCTGATGCTGGTAGATCAGGAAGGGGGGGAAGGGCGGCCCCTTTATTTAGCTGTGCACACATGATTACCTATTAGCCTGAGTCTGCTGAGCCGAGCTCCCTGACACTGGGGATACTGGGGGTTGTAGTGCTCTGTAATACATCAAAGAATATTAGTTTACACAGCAAAATACAGCAAGGTGAGCTAGGAGAGACAGCCGGGAGAGAAAATGAGGAATGACAGCCAGGAGAGAGAGAGCGAGGAAAGACAGTCAGGAGAGAGAGGAAACACAGCCAGGAGAGAGAGAGTGGGGAGAGACAGCCAAGAGAGAAAACGAGGAATGACAGCCAGGAGAGAGAGAGAGCGAGGAGAGACAGCCAGTAGAGAGAGGAGAGACAGCCAGGAGGTTGAGCAAGGAGAGACACCAAGGAGAGAGATCCAGGAGAGCGAGGAATGACAGCCAGGAGAGAGAGAGCAAGGAGAGACAGCCAAGAGGGTGAAGAGAGACAGCCAGGAAAGAGAGAGAGGAGAGACAGCAAGGAAAGAGAGAGAGGAGAGACAGCCAGGGGAGAGAGCAAGGAGGGACAGCCAAGAGGGGGAAGAGAGACAGCCAGGAGAGAGAGAGAGCAAGGAGAGAGAGAGAGAGCGCGCAAGGAGAGACAGCCAGGAGAGAGAGAGAGCAAGGAGAGACAGCCAGGGAAGAGAGAGAGGAGAGACGGCCAGGGGAGAGAGCAAGGAGAGATAGCCAGGAGAGAAAACGAGGAATGACAGCCAGGGGAGAGAGAGCAAGAAGAGACACCAAGGAGAGAGAGAGCAAGGAGAGACACCAAGGAGAGAGAGAGCAAGGAGAGACACCAAAGAGAGAGAGAGCAAGGAGAGACAGCCAGGAGAGAGAGAGAGTGAGGGAGGTTTTTTTTCGTTGGTAGCTCGTCATTTGAAAAGTAGATCTTAACGCAAAAATTGTGGGCACCCCTGGTGTAGACAGAGACGGAGGCTCAGAGGTGACACGATTATGTAAATGCTGCACTTCCACTTTAAACGTTTTATTGAAGCTTTTTAAATAGAAGGAATGTTATTTGTAGCAGACCCATAAGAAGCAAGTCTCTCCTCTGACTCCCATCACTTGCGTGTATACATTTCAGCTTGAGTTATTGAGCTCAGTAAACCGCAAGCTCGGGGACAGAGGAAATATTACAAGGAGAGGCTGGCAAAGAGACATAGGTCATATTTTAAAAGATAAGTCCTAACCATAATGAAGAAAGACAGTAGCTCACTGTTCAGTTCCTTTATACACAGGGCTGGATTTCCCACAAGGCCCCTCTACTCCCTGCGGCCTTGGGGCAGCAGGGAGTAGAGGGGCAGCAGGGGTGTGGAAATCCTATCTCCCGATGCTCGGGGCAGCAGGGAGTAGAGGGGCAGCAGGGGGGTGGAAATCCTATCTCCCGATGCTCGGGGCAGCAGGGAGTAGAGGGGCAGCAGGGGGGTGGAATTCCTATCTCCCGATGCCCGGGATGTACAGCGGGGAAGCTGCCGCTTGTTTTGTACACGTGATCCAGGCAATGTTGCCGAGATCACTTGTATGCAGCCTGGGGGGGGGGACTGGGGTGGGGGGGTAGGGGGGGCATTGAGGAACCCGGCCTTGGGGCAGCAGAGAGAGTAAATCCGGCCCTGTTTATACACTCCTGTCTATATGTATACAATGTTGAGAAGAAGTCTGCAAAATATCAAACATTTGTAATTGTTTCCTCTTCCCTCGTTGCAGGTCGGTGGAAGGACCATGCTGCCCATTCGCTGGATGCCACCTGAGAGCATCTTGTACCGCAAATTCACCACAGATAGTGACATCTGGAGCTTTGGCGTGGTCCTCTGGGAGATCTTCACGTATGGCAAGCAGCCGTGGTACCAAGTTTCCAATACAGAGGTAAGGGTGTCTCTTCCATCAGAATTAGGATGCAGCTCCAGACAGAACTTCTTTGTGTTGTATCATGTGAGGAAAGGGTTAGATTTACAGGGGTGTCAAACTCAATTTAATGGTGGGCCGCATCAACATTATGGTTGCCCTCAAAGGGCCTGTAAGACTATATAAATGTATCTAATCTTTATCATAATTGCCTCGGCATTCCATTATCACTGGTTTAAGTAGTAACCGAATACCTAGATCTGAAAGTAGAAGTCTAGGAAATGGCCTGGTGGGCCGGATTCGGCCCCTGGGCCTTGAGTTTGACACATGTGGGTTAGAACATATGGCAGGTTTGTGCCGCTGTCTGTGGACCCTATCAACAGACTTTCCCCACTTCCTATCCCAGGTCACAGGTGGTGTGTGGAAACCTTTTATGTAGGAAGAAAGCCTAAAAAAGGAACTTGGTATCCAAACATGGGCTTTGGAAACCTTCTGGTTACAGAACAGAGACCAAAATTGGACATAGGACATCTCCAGAACCTCACCAACCCACTTCATCATCTCTTTCTTTGGTTCTCCTACTGAAGTTCTGTATGGTGAGGAGTAGAGAGGTAAATAACTTGGTGCCTTCAATTCTTAAAGAGGATCTTGCATCAAGATGAAAGGTTCTGCTATTAAGTTGAGGTCCACCTCCCTATGTAAAAAAAAAAAAATGGTGGCCCGCTTCTATTGAACAGCATCATAGAGCAATTTGCCTCTCTACTCTTCACCATACAGAACCGAAAGAGGGGACAAATGGAGAAGATAATGAGGTGATTTGGTAAGGCTTTGGAGGTCCACTTTAACTTCAATTTTTTGAAGTTTGTTTGCTTTTATTAGTGCATAGCATAAGTGTAAGCGATCCCCTGTATCTGCGCATGCACCAAAAGCCAGTCCCCATACTATTGGGAAATGCGCTATTCCACGCATGCGCAGACGATCACCTCCAGCCGCAGAAAAGCGTGCCAAAATGGCGCACAGGAAATGACACATCACCCTAACTACTTCCCCTATATAAACCCAGCCTGAGCGCCACCATATTGCTGGGTTATCCATCAGCTCTCCTGTGTTCCTGTGATCTCCTTCTTGTTTTGCTGTGACCCGGACTTGCCTTGACACCTCTTGCCTGCCACCGACCTCGGATTTGTTGATTGGACTTCTCTTCTGCCTGAGCCCCTCTGTACCGTTATTGCTCGATTGGCTTTGACCTTGGCTCGTTTACTTGGATTACGCTTGTCAAGGCCCTTGGATGTCAGCTTGCACGATGCTCTCACCACTGGCACTTGCCGTCTACCTGGACTCTGTCCCCATTCTCAGAGTCCTCGGGACACAAGGTGCAAGGGAGGCCTCCTCACGCTTTCAGTCTCCAACCAGGTATGTGACAATAAGTTCTTTACTGACTGGGTACAGGAGAACATGGGACCTCCTACCAGTATGCAGTGTTCTGGGTTGAACAGTCAGCCACCAGGCCTGAACTTTGTCACCTGACAAGGACAATGATGTCATCAACCCTGTGTAAGCTCCAACATCAACCGATGATACAGAGGTATACCCAGGGCCGGGACATGTGGGTTGGACTTATAAGAGACAAGGTGGCAGAACCTCTTTAAAGGTCCGCTAAGTCAAACAGAAATCTCTTCCTGAGCAGAAATTACAACATAAGTCATTTGTATAAGCCTTGTGATCCCTTTAAGCCGCCATCTTTGATGGCACCATGATGTCTGCTGACACTATGCCACCTTTATTTTTTTCATATGTTCCACTGATACATATATCAGATCCACATATGTTTCCTAAAATGTTCCATTAATGTCATTAAAACTCTTTTACATAAACCAACTAGTCGGCTATGTTCCATGGCCCTATAGGGGCAAAAGGAGGATGAAATTAAAGCCAACAGAGGTCCAGATTGTATCAAATACGGTTGTAGGAACTGTTTGCATGGGTATACGTCCGTGTCCCTCAAAAACTCCTTTGATGGAAACCATACCTTGCTGCCGCCGCCTGCCAAGAAAGCTTTCTCGATAAATAAGAAACGGTCTGATTTTTAATTTTTACCAATGCGCATTGGAGGTAATTGAATTGCGCTGCCCTGTGGGTCCTGTAAGTGACCTTCTCAGGAATCGGAGAAGATAATGAACTTAGGAGACACCCAGATAATAGGTTCTTTACTCCATCACCGGGGATCCGGTTACTGCCAGCCTGGGGCGTCTTGGCAGGGAGTGGAGGGGGAATTTGCAAACACAACATTATTTATTTTTGACAACTAATTTTATTTACGGGTACTTGAAACTTGTTAATTGCACTTAAGTGATAACCTGTTCATGCCGGAGAGCCGGGCGCTCAGGCGCGAGGGCCACTGACATCGGAACTCAATGCTGAAGTCAATTTAAAGGCGTGCTTTCTGTCTTAAAGGGTCTGTTTCACCTAAAAGGAATATTTCAGCTTTGGGTAGATTCCATTTGCTGTCAGTTGCCTTCAATGTTCTGATAGCGAGATCCAGGGGCGTAACTAGAAATCACAGGGCCCCATAGCAAAATTTTGTATGGGGCCCCCGTGATTGCTAGTTATGCCATTTGCAGAGCCCACCTGAGAGTGACCCTGCAGAGCCCGCCATAGACTCTCTATGGTGGGCTCTGCAGGGTCTCAGATGGGCTGCACACCTCTTACCTGTCAGCGCTGTCCGCCTCCGTGGTCACCGGGCCCCGCCTCCTCAATCGCCCCCAGACCCCGCCTCCTCTTCTATCGACGGGCCCCGCCTGCTCTTAGGTCGCTGGCCAGTGATGTAAGAGGAGGCGGGGTTGCTCTTAGGCGGGCCCCGCCTCCTACTTCACTGCGATCGCCGGCCTCTTCTGCCGCAGCTGCTGGATGTTGCCGACACAGTGATCTGTGAGCACCCTTACATGCCATAGCGACCCAGGCGGCCCACACGGCATCACAGGGATGCCCTGGCAGGGCCCATTTGTGCCCGGGCCCCATATCGGCCGCCTGGTTTGCTGTGGCGATTGTTACGCCACTGACGAGATCCCTGCAGCTTAATGTCTGGAGCTGAGCACCTGGTGACGTTGTTGTAAGGACCTCGAGAAAGCCTTCTTGGATGTTTCATTTAATTTGTGTTAAAGGGAGTGGAGGGATTGGATCCTTGGCAATGTGGGTGTCACGATCTGGGATCAGGCTCAGAGTCCAGTAGCTGAAACAGCGGGCACATTCGTGGTATAACAGGCCGGGTTCAGTACACAAGCAGACGGTAGTAGTATAGGAGCAGGCAGAAGCGTAGTCAGCGAACAAGCGGAGGTCAGTAGCCAAAGGTATCAGGTGCGAAGCGGAAGATGATGAGAGTAGTCGGTGAATCAGCAGCCAAAGGTCGGTACACGGGTAGCAGTATGAGCGGATTGTAGCACAGGAGGAGCAGGAAGCAAGATATTGGCAGGAGCACAATAATCTGGCAAACAGGAAGCGCAGAGGCGTGGCTAAAATAGGAAGTTCAAAGGAGGAGCAAGGAGTTCAGAGTTCAGCAGAAATTAGGTTTACCTGAGTATTACACAGGAGAACAGGCAAAGAGCTATCCAAGGTTCTAAGGTGGCTCATCAGGTAGAGCCACCGCCAGACACAACAGATGCCCTGGGTTCAGATGCAGATCCCGACAGTGGGGCAGAACCTGCAACGTCAACTAAACTCAAAAGGGCCTTCAAAAAGTGTAAACCTACCAAGAACCATCTATGGTGAAATGCATGAGGGTAGCTCAGATGCCTTTTGTCTACGCTAACCTAAAATATTCTAATTTTTCTTTGCAGGCCATTGAATGCATCACCCAAGGGCGAGAACTGGAAAGGCCAAGGACCTGCCCCACCGAGGTATACAACATCATGCAAGGCTGCTGGCAGAGAGAACCCCAGCAGAGGCTCAACATCAAAGAGATCCACAACAAGCTAGAAGCTCTTGTCAAGGCACCACCAATTTACTTGGACATCCTACAATAACATTGGAGGACAAGAAAACCGAGGACCAAACCGCTAGGAGCAAAAGCATGAACCCTACAAGACCATTTATTCTGGAAGCAGCTTTGCTAACATTTAAAGTCAATGTACTAAGTCCTTCTTACAAAGGTCAATCGCTGATGACGCTTGGACAGAATGTCTTCAGGAAGTCTTCTAAAGTTTGGCCAACCGGCATGGGAATGACTAAAAAACGCTCTTGGGAGACACTTGTCATGACGTCTTATAGCCGTGCAGAGACGTACATACAAGCCTGTATGGAACTTGTCACAACATTGATGAGTCTTGTCAGCTGATTCAATAGTAGGATTATCCATAACTCTACAATCTATTGCAGCACATACTACAATGTCCACATTGGCCGTGGCCAATATGGCTCCAGGACTCAAGGATCTCAAAGCCAACAGATATACAATCAAGTCAACATGAACACAATGCACAAGCATTCGAAACAACAAGACTACAAGGCCTTTGTGTCATACGATACTACCAGTACAAGTTCCAGAGACACAAGGTGGGAACACAGCTTGACAGACTATAAACCTTTCAGCCTATGAGATGTGCTAAAGTTATCCGTCGACTCTCCATCTGCACCTAGTGTACAAAACATAGACGTGAAAGAGGACTTCCATGGTCAGCTCTTTGTTCTTGATAGACTTTGAGAGTTTTCACAAGCATGCTATGTAATATTATTGACACCCAATAGCCTTTCAACCAATAATCAGGAACCGATCATTCTGTACAATATGGCGGCCGATTTGTTTTGAAGTTTTCTGGTTTGTGGCTTGCTGTTTGGCTCTTGGTACATTGTAACATACCAAACAACAGTGTAGATGTTCAGCCACGTATACCTGGTTTATTTTATCATGGTTACATTCTAGTGTCCCCCCCCCAACATGGACAATCCCTCTAACCAACCTTTGGTGCAGTAGTCATTATGGTACAGCTCCTGATCTTCTACTAACTGTTGCCGGAGGACCAGGTAGTAGCTGATATTTCCATTGCGCTGTGTCGGAGGCTTCCAGCGGACAATCAGATGGGATGAGCAGTTCGACATGATCATAACGTCCTGGGGAACAGTTGGGGCTGCAGTAAAGAGATGGCGAAAAGCTAATACAGTAATTGTCACCTGGTTTTAGCATTGGTGCCTTCTTCCTGATATTTGTCTTCCCTTTTAACTCCTTACAACAGTTAATAGTGATACCCAACCCTCTTACTACCTAGATCTCTCAAGATCCCTTACTACTTCCATCTCTCGTGAGCCCTTGCCGCCTCCATCTCTCGAGAGCCCTTGCCGCCTCCATCTCTCGAGAGCCCTTGCCGCCTCCATCTCTCGAGAGCCCCTGCCGCCTCCATCTCTCGAGAGCCCCTTCCGCCTCCATCTCTCGAGAGCCCTTGCCGCCTCCATCTCTCTCGAGAGCCCTTGCCGCCTCCATCTCTCTCGAGAGCCCTTGCCGCCTCCATCTCCCGAGAGCCCTTGCCGCCTCCATCTCCCGAGAGCCCTTGCCGCCTACATCTCCCGAGAGCCCTTGCCGCCTCCATCTCTCCTATAATGCAGAATTACATTGAACTCTGGTTACATATAAGGAATGAGGCATATGTAGTAATAAAGGGTAATAAATACATGCAATTCTCTGAGTTTAATACATCGTAGTCCATGAAAACGATGCTCATAGCTTGAAGTTTAAGGTGTATACAATTATCTTATATCAACAGGGCAAGTGTCAGAACCCAAGGAATAGGTAACCGTCATCTCTTGGCCACATCAATGGGTATCTATCAACTCTGCCCCATTGACCTCTTGGGTTCTGCTATAGTTTAAACCCATTATGTGGCTCCATAACACCAGAATAAGGACATCTACTAGGTTAAACCCAAGGAATAGGTCACCGTCATCTCATGGGCACCTTTCATCTCTGCACCATAGACCTCTTGGGTTCTGCTATAGTTTAAACCCATTATGTGGCCCCATAACACCAGAATAAGGACATCTACTAGGTTAAACCCAAGGAATAGGTGACCGTCATCTCATGAGCACCGCAATGGGTACCTTTCATCTCTGCACCATAGACCTCTTGCGTTCTGCTATAGTTTTACACATTATGTGGCTCCATAACACCAGAATAAGGACATCTACTAGGTTAAAGGTTGCAGTCAAAGGGCAGGCTGACCTGGTGAATAAAAGCAGAATTCTCAAAGCATGGCTAGTATGCAAATGTGTTGGCTGTATAAATAATAAATATACTTTACCTGAAGTATTACTAAAATACAAGCATAGGATCCGTATAGAATTAGGATTCCTAAGAATAGGTGACCAACGCTTTTCTGGGTACAGCAATGGGTACCATGATTATAGCAGCATAGGATCCTAGGTTATGCCATAGTTTATTACTCGCTTGGCTTTGGGTGACCAGAGTAAACCCATCTTCTAAGCTTTGGGTATGGAAGGTTGAGGTTACCTAGAAGGTCCAAGTCTTTGGTGTAAGTCTTCAAGTTGAAGCCTTTGGTACTCAAAAGCTTGGTGATCATTTAGATGAGATATGGTCAGGTTTCCTAACATTAGATAATCGTCTTGAGCACAGAGATGGGTTTCACTCATGGCACCAAACAAATGCTTCTAAGCTTCTACTTACGTTATTCCATAGCATCAGGGCCGGATTTACTCTCTCTGCTTCCCCAATGCAAGCAAATGTTGTTGTTGTTGGAGCAAATTGAACCATGCTTTATAGGGGGGTTTTTGTGCCTTCCTCTGGATCAACATTGGGTAATTGTGGGCATACTGTTCTGTTTAGGCTTTTCTTCTCTATAGGTTGAACTCGATGTCTTTTTTCAACCTGACTAACTATGTAACTATGTAATGCCAGGTTCCTCAATGCACCCCCCTGTATGCAGGCTGCATAAAAGTGATCTCGGCGACATTTAGCCTTGCTTACCCAAATGTAGAGAACAACTCCCCGGCCATCGCCCAGAACTGCATGTCCCGGACATCGGGAGATAGGAATTCCACACCCCTGCTGCCCCGAGCATCGGGAGATAGGATTTCCACATCCCTGCCGCTCCTCTACTCCCTGCTGCCCCGAGCATCGGGAGATAGGAATTCCACATCCCTGCCGCCCCTCTACTCCCTGCTGCCCCGAGCATCGGGAGATAGGAATTCCACACCCCTGCTGAACCGAGCATCGAGAGATAGGATTTCCACACCCCTGCCACCCCTCTACTCCCTGCTGCCCCGAGCATCGGGAGATAGGATTTCCACACCCCTGCCGCCCCTCTACTCCCTGCTGCCCCGAGCATCGGGAGAAAGGAATTCCACACCCCTGCCGGCCCTCTACTCCCTGCTGCCCCGAGCATCGGGAGATAGGAATTCCACACCCCTGCCGCCCCTCTACTCCCTGCTGCCCCGAGCATCGGGAGATAGGAATTCCACACCCCTGCCGCCCCTCTACTCCCTGCTGCCCCGAGCATCGGGAGATAGGAATTCCACATCCCTGCCGCCCCTCTACTCCCTGCTGCCCCGAGCATCGGGAGATAGGAATTCCACACCCCTGCTGAACCGAGCATCGAGAGATAGGATTTCCACACCCCTGCCACCCCTCTACTCCCTGCTGCCCCGAGCATCGGGAGATAGGATTTCCACACCCCTGCCGCCCCTCTACTCCCTGCTGCCCCGAGCATCGGGAGATAGGAATTCCACACCCCTGCCGGCCCTCTACTCCCTGCTGCCCCGAGCATCGGGAGATAGGAATTCCACACCCCTGCCGGCCCTCTACTCCCTGCTGCCCCGAGAATCGGGAGATAGGAATTCCACACCCCTGCCGCCCCTCTACTCCCTGCTGCCCCGAGCATCGGGAGATAGGAATTCCACACCCCTGCCGGCCCTCTACTCCCTGCTGCCCCGAGCATCGGGAGATAGGAATTCCACACCCTTGCTGCCCCTCTACTCCCTGCTGCCCCGAGCATCGGGAGATAGGATTTCCACACCCCTGCTGCCCCTCTACTCCCTGCTGCCCCAAGCATCGGGAGATAGGATTTCCACACCCCTGCTGCCCCTCTACTCCCTGCTGCCCCAAGGCCGAGCCTTGGTTGGCCTTGTGGGAAATCCAGCCCTGTGTATAAAGGAACTGAACAGTGAGCTACTGTCTTTCTTCATTATGGTTAGGACTTATCTTTTAAAATATGCCCTACGTCTCTTTGCCAGCCGCTCCTTGTTATATTTCCTCTGTCCCCGAGCTTGCGGTTTACTGAGCTCAATAACTCAAGCTGAAATGTATACACGCAAGTGAAGGACTTGGTTGGCCTTGTGGGAAATCCCGCCCTGCATACCATACCACGGCCACCATATTTTTGATGTTCTACAGATAGATGCTCAACGCGTGGAGAGTATACACAGAGGTGGTGACGGGTTACATATTATATATACTCATCTCAGCATTCCTACCCCAAAACTGTGGCCCGCCGTAGACTGCTAAGGAACGAAGAATGCCAGGAAACCATGACAGCGGGTAACTGAACAGTATATATCCCGCCAAGCTGTACAATCTGTGTGCAAAAAACATAAACGTTTCAAAAACATTCTACATATGTCTAACTGTATGATGCAGATACGCTATCTCCGAAGGCATGCCGATCATAATCCGTCTCGTACATGAAGAGTAAACTTTGCTTCTGGATTTCTGTTACGGTATTGATCGCTGGTATTTATTATTTATTAGGATAATGAATTTCACGAGGACGCGGACGGGTCCAAAATTGATGTAAAAACTAGACAAAAAAGGGTGGAAATTTGTTTTCCTGTGCCAAAGTTATTTAAAAAAACTTGATGTGTCTTCCTTTTCTTTTCTTTTTTTTTTAGGGTCATGTATGTCACAATGGGGTATTGCCAATATTTAAATGAGATTGTAAGCTGTCTGGGCAGGAGCCTCCCGACACTTTTGAGTCCAGTGACGTCTGTAGCACTTACAGTAGCTCGGCATTTTTTTGTTGAATACCGGTGGTTTCCCATAATGTATCTTTTGTTTTGTAACGCAGTGAAGGACCATTGGCGCTCAAGCAAAATAAAAGATAGCGAAAAAAGATTCTGGGTGTGGTTTCTGACTCTCCGAAATGGGAACATCTAAATGTATTCCTTAAAGGAGAACTATGGTGGTCAGGGCTTTTCCCCATAGTT